TTTGCATTGATTTCACACCTCGTAAAGTTCAAGCTACATCGACTGATTACGACTGTTCTCTTTGATAAAGATGCTTCTCTTGGCTCGAGTTTCTCCATCTGTCTGCTGGGTCGTCGTGTCGCTCTTAGCCCGTTCTGGTCTTGGCAGGCAAGGTCAAAGCTAGAATCCTAAATGATCTCGATGGGTCTTAAAACGTCTACACTTATTACAATTAAGATTTCCTCTTGGGTTAAAGTTTGTCATATCAGTGATAACACAAATGCATCTCTAGCCTGCACTTTTACCGCATCTGTTCTTTCTGTCTGTTTCACCCCCTTGCCAATCGGGCACTCTCATGGCTCAGTTAGTATCATGTATCATGCTGAATTACGAAGCGCTTGGCCCTGATTCTAATCCCAGACTGGCCGTTCTTGAACCCAGGTCATTGTTTGGAATTTTCAAGGCTCTCGACCCTTTTGGTTCGGTCCTTTCACAGACAGAGGTTCCACTTCTTAGATAACCGAATAATGTTGTTAGAGGTGACAACCCCCATACACTTACCTTTTTTATTGTACAGTTGAAACGAAACAAGAGCCAATGGTCCCAATGAAATTATCCGGCCTAGACAAAGTTCAAAAGAGCCAAATTTCAGAGAATTGGCTCCACACAGAGCCAAACCGACAACACTGGAAAACAAATCCCGAATTCATACACCCGCCAAAATAATCCAGAAAATGTCTCATTTGATGCTTAGTCTAACTTTTGAACACATGGTTTTAACTTTTAAACTTGCGGTACGCATAACTGTCTCGTGATTTTTAAAACAGTAAATCTAAATAAAAATGTGACTACACAAATAAAAGGCCAAGAAGCAGAGATTGTCAATACAAAATTATCAATTTTATTTTGAATTTGGATATCTTGATCTAGCCTTTGTTGAGCAGAAGTCGATGTTACAATCGTGCTAAGACGTGGTTGTAGTTCTGTACAACTGTAAAAGCCCCCCCCCCCTCCCCAAATTTAAAAAAGTGTTTTTTAACAACCATGAACTTATTCTGAAAAGCCCGTTTTACCTCTTTTCGCTTGACTGAACTAGTCTGATAGTAAGCTAATATAGTTATAATTGGTGCTTGTGACTGCTCATGGGAGTGGTTGGGAAGGGGACAGGAGAGTATTAGGTGGCGATAAAACACTACAGAGTGTTTTGCATGCGGCTCTTTAGCGATTAGTAAAGTTTAGGCTAAGTCTATGGATGCGAGGATGATCCCAAGTTATGATAGGGAAACAGTGTTTATTTTATTGCGAGGACGCTTCGTGACTGCTTCAGACTTCCGACTATGGAGTACATTTGCCTTCATAACAATACAAGCAACAGTACACAACAAAGACATAATGCGTTGAACAGGCACAGGAACCAGAACGAACGATTTCAAGTTTCAAATCCTTCCGTGAAATTCGAAGGGAATGGGTTAATGGGAACAAGTCAACCAGTTAGCGTTTTTTCCCCCTTAAAGCTCGCTTGTCAGTTGAGACGTGGGTAATAGCTGCTGTCAGTATATGCGTGAGTAAAGAGAAGAAGGAAGTGGGCAGTAATGGACAACGTGATTCAGCATTTTTGTCAGCTCTTTTCTTCATAGTTTATGCTGGTGAGCGACGAGGACTTGTGCTTTCTATTCGAGTTTTGGTGAGTTACTTTTTGAAGATTATACGTTCAAAATTTTCAAATCGTGGGTAAGTGTATCTGCAAGTGTGTGTGTGTGTGTGTGTGTGTGTGTGAGTGAGTGAGTGTGTGTGTGTGCTTGTGTGCATGTGTGTGCGCTTGTGCGTTGCGTGCGTGAGGGCGTGTGCAGACATAGATATACATACTTATATATAT